AAAAAGTTTTTATAAACCAAAAGGATAGAAATACATTAATGAAATTTGATTAAACTGCTCTTATAGGTGAATTTAGAACATATACAGTGCATAGTTAATCCGTTGATTAATAAACATTAGTTGTGTTCTGTAGCATTAGAACTTATTTATGTGACGGGGTTTTAAAATTTTAGTGATGCAGCTTGTAAAAAAATTGTGTTTAACAAAAGAATGATAGAAATGTAAATAAAAATTATAAAAGTGTGAATGATTTTTACTTTTTTTTTTTTCACATTGAAAGTTCTGAAAACTAATGTATAGAGAATGAAGTTTGTTTTACTTTTCACATAAAAGGAGCTAATTAATGTCCCCACAAGAACGTACCAGGAAAGGAGGTCCAAAAGGAGAAAAATCAAAAGTTGATTATTATCTAATCACATTTAGCTAAATATAATTGACCTTTATTTACTTGACCAGGGCATAAGAAAAGAGAATGTTGTTCACACACGACATGACACTTTGGATAAATCCAGATGTATCCTCTGTCCCGGGCATTCTAAGAAACAATGATATCAAAATTCTGACTAAATAAATTCAATATGAAATAAAGTGAGTTTTCTTTGGATATAATATAAAGATAAAGAAAAACATATAAGTAAATCTCTTTTTTTTTCTAAAAAATACTCACCATACTTTTTCTTTTATCTTCTTTCTTTCATTCTATTACATAATTTATAACCTTATATTATTTTCTCTCTTTAAATATATTAATTATCGTTTAAAGATAAGAGACTCTCATGAATTAAAGAACACTACTAAAGTGTTTTAAATAACGGTTATCTTGACGTAGATCAACTTCACTTAAATAGACTCTTTATCTACCAACTAAAATTAAAATAAAAAATAATAAATGACAGTTCATACACCTTATAAGGTAAGAAAAAAAATAACTTTTTTAGGTCTCTATACCCTTTCTCTTTAGCATTGACAAGAAATTCATATCCACCCTATCAATATCATTAATCAAATGGATTCCATTTTATGACTAAAACCTTTGTGTAAGACTAAATGTTCTCATATTTTATTCCTTAAAATGGAGTAAAAATTGATTTCTCACTAAAGAAAATTTAAATGTTATAAAAAAACATAAAATTAAAAAAATTATTTTTTTTAAATAACTTCAATTTTATAGATCTAAGTAAAAAAAATAGAAATATAAGAACTGAAATTCTAAACCATTAGTCAACTATTAATACTTCTTTTGATTAATAATTTTATTTTGATAACTTGATTTTTAAAAAAGAAATATTTAAATGAAATTTATTAGTAATTATTAGAGGAGAGAATAATGGAGTTAGATATCATAATACTCAACAGGTGAGTAAGTATATAATTGTGTCTTATACCAAAAATGTCCATTTAATATTTAGTAGAAATTTTATCGTGCAAATATTCTTAAATAAGAATTCTTTTTCTCATGCTTATCTATAAATATACATAGAGGATACATCATTTTAGTGTCTTTTTTTGTTTTTTGTTTTAATTTTATCTTCATAATAATTACCTTTTAAATTTAAATAATTATTCATAATAAAAAAATAATTTTCAGTTTTATCATTTTAGTAACTACTTTTTTTAATCCAAATAATTATTCATTATAAATAAAAGAATTAATAACTCTTTTATAATTTTAGTAATTACTTTTTCAAATTTAAATACTCATAATAAAAAATTATTTATACTTATTAACTCAAATAATTATTCATTATAAATAAAAGAATTATTTAATTTTTTATTATTTTAATAACTACAATTTCAAATTTAAATAATCATTAAAAAAA